TATATGCTTTGACAACCTTGGGAGCCCTATACAGCCCATACTGGGATGCACTTGGGGTTAAGTTAGCCCTAACGCTAAGCCTATTTGAGCGCGAATCGGGGGGGTCGGAATCTGCGAATCGGGGGGTACAAAATAGCCAGATACGGATAGAAACCCTAACGCTAAGCCTAATATGGCACGAATCGCACCCCGATTCGCGCCTCATATTGGTTAGGTATATAATATTTTAGTAGTATAACTAAACTGTTTCTAAGAGTTTAAAGAAGAGTCTTATAGAATCTTACCTAATTTTATACTTTAGTTATTATTTTTACTATTATAAAACTATACTTTAAGAAATATAAATATTTCTTCTATAATATCTTATATAGCTTTTTAAACTAGTATTAACTAATATCTCTACTAGATACTTAGTGATACTTCGACCTTTATCTATTAATAATATACTAATAGCCTTAACTATAAAATCTACTACTTTAAGTAATAGTTTCTATGAATAGTTAATGTAAGGCTAATAGTAAAATTTACCTTATATCTAGTTTTAGTAATTACTACTTAAGAGAGAGCTAGTATAGTAGCTTAACCTACTACTACGAAACTAGCTACTAGTTCTTAGTATCTAAACTGTTCTTACTAAACCTATTCTTATTAATACTTTATATAGAAGTAATAGAAAGATTTATAAGAGCTTAAATTTTAGTAACTAGTATTTTTTAAGCGGGTATTGCGGTAACACTACCAGCCACGGTAGTGCCTGGTACTATAGCGGCATTAGTGTCTGGTTATTGAAATCTAGGGATATCTCAACTAATGTACTCTGCGGGAGCAACAGTGACATATGCGATAGCCACGCTGTGTATAACAACTACTGTGTATGTGAGACTCTACTTGATTCTCGTTAAAGACTTTGATCTCATTAGTAAGCGCTAGTATAGGCCTCTAAGAGTTAGCCGTATGTACGCCAAAAGCAAACATTGAAACCTCTATGCAACGCAATGGACGCTAGCTGTGGCTGAAAAGCGGGGTTGAGATTGAAACACCAGAACGTCCACCCAGGCTCAACTGCTATCTCTACATATCTGTAACGGAATATTAAACTCTTCTGCAAGATGCCACCAAGCACCTGTCGCCAGAGTGTTAAAGGGAAGACTATCACCAGCGGAGCAAACGGGAAGAATACTGAAGACGAGAAGACGAAGAGATACGAGAAGCTGACAGCTGACATCGATGCAATATGGAAAGAAGTTAAAAAGGATGTAGAGGGATTTTCCAACCCTCCATCTGATCAGGAAGCAAAGAAGTGGAAGGCTGGGCGCGTCTTTGACAAATGGCAGGCGGGAAAGAACGGACAGAACCTGGGTCGAAGCGAGAAGGACGATGAATCGACAAGAAAGATTGTAGACCCAACACCAAAGATCCTAGAAATTATGGAAAATGTCACGCCTGGTATAGCCCCATAAAAAAGCAAAATGAATAAGAAATCCAGGGTCGCACTGACAAAAACTGTCCAATGCATCAACATATTAGGCAAGACCGTCGCCGGTGGTGTATCACAAGTAAGTGGCATTCTAACTTAGGGGACTCTTAGAAATCATAGAAGCATTGTCGATACGCCCGCTGATCTCCTTTTAGGCATTTGCTCCGGCGCCATTGTGCTTCGAGGCGATCAGCTTCTTCCTCCAATTTTGGCTTAATAACATTGAAATGCAGGAGATGCTCGAGGAGCTTTTATCCAAATGTAACGATTTCATTGGCCACCTCCACATCTAAAAAATTGAAAAGTCCGCAAAAGACGTCATTGAGCTACGGTATATCACCGCCAAACTCATCGGCAGCCTAGTGAGGGTCCTCCGCTTTAGTGTCGACATCGGGAAATCGAATAGAGGCATCTTGGGAAGGCTTGTGAAACATTCCTTCCTAGGTGACAATGAGATCGGTAAACTGTTCAGCGAGATGTCATCTCTAGTGGAGGAAGAGCATCGCGTGTTAGCCACATTGATGTACAGAGGCGTAAGAAACATTCAGCAGGTCATGACCCAGCAGCAGATTGCATCAGATGCTAAGGCATGGCGAATCGCAATCTCAAAGGCACTTGGTTTCACCGACGAGCCAAAGCAACTATGGATGGACAGACTGCAAGATATCAGACTCTCACTCATTCCCGACACGGGCCACTGGGCAACAAAGACCTAAGAGTTTCGAAGATGGGAGGCGTTGCCCACTGATTCAGCCTATACTGAAAGCAACTCACGACCTTTCCTAGTCATCGAAGGACTAGAAAATGCCGGGAAGTCTTACCTGATGGCGAACTATCTGGAAAGAGAGCGGCCAGATCACGCTATCGCATATTATTTCCACAAAGAGGGCTTCCACCGTCGAATGGAAGATATTCGAACATTGTCACTTTTCTCAAGATGTCTGATGTGGCAATGTACTACATCTTCAGGAGTACTGATGAAATCCATCGCTGAGAAGTGTCGGCAGATAGGTCATAATCCGTACATCTATGACATGTGGTGGCAATTCTTTCTTCAAGATATGAGGATTGACAAAATAAATCAGTGTTTCTACATCCTGGTGGATGGTGTACAGAAAGGGGTGAAGAAAATAGTATCGGTCTTGAAAAAGCTCGTAGACAGCCACCCTGACAAATTCCGCATTCTTGTTACACCACGGAGTTCCGAAGTTTTCAAGATGTTGCCAGGCGAATTATGTTCTCACATCGACCTTCCTCACCTCGCCCAAAACAAATGCAATAAAGACATTGACGTATATATTAAGCATCGTCTGAGCAACATACCTGTGTTTCATGGGTCAATATACCCTGGAACGAAAAATTTGAGAGAAAAGATCGCGAAGAAAGTCAGGAACGCAATGAATGGTGATTGTGCGTAGATGGATATTGTCTCTGAAAAACTTCACTCAAAACATCACCTGGAAGATATCGACCTCATTCTGGAGGAAATGAAAAAGGATCATAAGTACCAGATCAGAGAAGAGATCGAGGAGCTGAATAGGACTCTTTCGTGGAAGGAGATCAAGGAGATTAATGAGATTATTCTTTGGGTGATGACGTCTCAGGTCGAACTCACCCTAGCCGACATGAGCGCAGTGCTTGCTTGCGGCTCCTGTCCTGAGTCTTTGAGGCCTTTACATCTTCGACTAAATCCGCTTTGCAAGCGAATGAATCAGACCAGATTCAATTCAGACTTAACGAAATCAAACACCAGATTCTCAAATCCAAATCGTCCTATAGCAGGAGTGCAACGGGGTCAACTGGCTCAGTGCAACCGGTCGAAGCGGAAATAGAATTGGTGTATCAATTCTTAAAGAACGTCTCTCCAAAGAGAGATGATTACGACAAGAAGGCGCTTGACCGCGTCCTGTGGAGTCATCGCTTGAATGACATGAAGGCTACCATCAGCTATGACAAGGAGAATGCTCATTTGAAGATAGCACTGACGTGTCTCCAAGTGTTCGCAAGAAAATGCGATGAATATACGGAACAGCTACTCCCGTATGCTAGGACCTATCTTCTCCACCCCTTGAGCAGAGCCAAACCGGGGAAGGTCAACATCATGCTGAAAGCTGAACTTGGAAAGTCACTAGTTAAGCTGTTCCAAGACCCGCTTTGCATCGATAAAATGTTCTGTTCGAAGATGGAACATATGGGTCATACTACTTGGCTCGAAACTGAGGATATATGGCTGCGGAAAAATTGCGAGTGTTGGCTCTACACGGACGAGGGGGTTAAGGAAGTGCTCAAGTGGTTCTCGGATTCGGACACAACAAGTGCCGTTTCCAAACAAAGACAAAGACTGAATCAATGACCTGATTGACAAGAAAAACAAGAATCGTCGTCATGAGATCCTTCTGCAAGGCGTAGCGGAGAGGTTGGCAACTCACCTATTTCTGGGCGAAGCCTACACGACCAGAGAACAGCAAACAGAAGTCTATTCTTTAAGTGGTTTTTTCTCACGGGTTGGTCTAGAAAACAAGATCTGGAGGAGACCAAGGGCTAACTATTGCAGGTTGATGACCAGGTAGATTCTCAACGGTACTCAAAGGACTACAAGTGGATGACTTGGGAAACTTCCGCCGCATCGAGAAGTGGGCCACAGAGTCGGCCAACGTAGGCAGCAAAGCGACAAGACATCGTGGCATTGGAAGATCCAGATGGCTACAACTATATTCGCCATTTGTGGACACGACGATGATGCGATCAAAGCAGCTAAAAATCATATCGAAGAATCACAGCATCTCGACCGAAATCTTTGGGAAGGCAGTTTCCTGGCTTACCAAACTGTTGCTGAACAGCTGTGCTTGGATGGGTCCTACTCTGAAGCTCAAAAGATCCTGGAAAAGGCCACAGAAGGAGTGCTTCCATTCGATGCAGGGCCAAGGAAATCAAAGTCAGATCTATCACTTGCAGCTATAGCTCTATTAGATCTGGGTGACCTTAATTGGAAAGGAGATGGCCATGGGCATCATCAACGTGATCGCGCGAGGAAAAAGTACAACGAAAGCCTCAGCTTTGATACTACTCGTTATGAGCGGTACATCGATGTCTTACAATGTTATCGGAAAACGGGAATTCATTCCTGCATTATTGATTTTTTTGGGGGCGCTTACCAAGAGGAGGGAGTTTGACAAAACCTATCTAAAGCGCCTTGTCTATCATTTTCTCACAAAAGACTAGTTTCAGAATTCTTTGCTCTCAGACACAAAACTACGCAACTGGGCCGAGGTAGTTGACAGAACCTTTGCAAAGGCAATCGAGACCGCAGAAGGATCCCAAATGGAACAATTCCACATCATGAAGACATATGGTGACATCCTGTATCGGTGTGGGGATAAGAGAAGAGAAGACGATATCGTTAGGCAATGGGTGATAGCTTTGAAGCATGGACAGCCGCTGGCTTCGTCTACTGCTGCCATTGGGTGGCCCGATATGTTCTCCATTATCGATCCCCTCGCTTACATCTACCTGAAACGAGCGGAGAAGGCACTTAGAGAAACTAAGAGGGCGGGTAAGGCAGGTAGCATGGCAACGACGAAGGTGAGAACGAAATTTGACACTGCAACACAGCATTTGGATCTTATCAAGGGGTTGAAGCAAAAGACTGATATCTGGATGAACACCGATGTGACGTGTTGCTCGGTGCGTTATTACAAGATCGCACAGAAGCCCCAAGAGGCTAGTTCCACGGTATCGAAGGTAGTGGCTGTTTTGATAGGCATATTGTCGGATAACGATGAGTCAAATGACTGGTTTGCATACCTGCAGCTGGGGAGGATAATGGAAGCATTGCAGGACAAAAAGAATTCCAATGAAGCGTGGAAAAGGGTCGAGAAGATGACGCCGTTCACGGCCAACGTATCCCCTTGGTTTCTTTGCGATGAATGCAAGCAGAGCATTCATCTTCCTGAGGGGCTATACGTATGCATGGAATCCTTCCAGCTGAGGTTCTTCCACAGCGGGTGTTACGGTGACTTGGAAAAAGACAAATCCCAGACAAGAAGTATAGGATTACACAAGGTCGCAGTCATCTTACCTAACGCAAATGGTACGGGCTGTACCATCAACGCGAAGCAAAAGGAAGAAAACAAGATGTCTTTGAGTCTTTGGAAGGCCAAAATCCAAGCGAAACACATACTTCCAGAGGATCACGTTGACATGTCGAGTACATGTTCGACGCCTGTTGTTCCTGCATGGCCAGAGATCCCCACACCTATATCCCCAGTGGATAAATGTACCCGCCCATCATTTCAAAGGCGACTCAAATCAGATACGGAGTAGTAGCCGACGGAGCCCAGTGAGTTAAGAAGGTGACTCTGACTAGTCTCTTCGCAATTTAGAGTTTCCCTATTCTAGGTAAGGCGAATAGTAAACAGGTACAAGTATTGGAAAGGAGTAGGTGTCTTAGGTTAAACAATGTCTAATACATATGGTACCTAAGTCTTTACCCTGCAATATGTCGGAGATCAATCCGGATACGATGCACGCTACGGCTAATTTCCAAAATACGAGGCACGCGTGACCATCCCGTGTAGAAATGCGGGGAACATTTCAAAACACCTACCTAAGAAAGCAGATATGAGATGAACCCAGCGGGGTCGGCTATATTGAATCGAAGATGCCTTAGCCTGGTAGCCGAAGGGATCTACAAAACTACAAGCATGTGATGAAGGTAAAATGTACAAGTAAGGAGCGGTTGAAGGGATTATACAAGAGGCCATTGAAGAATTGTCATACACACGATCGAGACCAAAATGTCGCACTACCTTCCCATTCGTCATTTTGGAATTATCGTATCTCTTCTTCCCCATCTAAGCGTCTTCGCTGTTCCGTCAGAATACGATGCAGCCCCTCGGTTGGAAAAGCGAGCCACCCCTTCAAGCATCGGTATTGACGCCGCTACGCTAACTTCCAAATGGTTTGAGGGTTCAGATAAAGTTCAGATCATCGAAATGATCCTCACCAACCATGACACCGCAGAATCTTTCACCAAAGCCGAGGACCTCACCATCACGGCATCTTCTTCATATTTTGATCTCGTAAAGCCGGCCAGAATTACACGCCTTATAGCTGGACAACAGGTTGTCGCGCAAATCGGCATCAAGAACAAGGAAGGATTTGCGCCTGGGGATTCATGCTCAGGAACTATAACTGCCAACTGGGTTGGCGGAAGGACAACTTCCAAGAACATCACTGGGTCTTGCGGTTTCGGCGACTATACTGCAACTAAAGCCAGCCTAAACAAGCATTGGACTCCTGACTGGTATAACAATGCTAAGTTTGGCATCTTTATTCACTGGGGTGTCTATTCTGTTCCGGCATTTGGCAATGTGGGCGATAAGGAAGATTACGCCGAATGGTATTGGATGCGCATGACACAGCCAAACTACAAGTCTCAGACGTACCAGCATCATAGGGACACCTACGGCGAGAATTTCAACTACGATGATTTTATTCCCTCCTTCACTGGAGACAAGTTCAATGCGAAGGAGTGGGTAGATCTAATGGCAGAGGCTGGAGCAAGGTATATCGTTCCCGTGACAAGTAAGTTGATACTGAAAGAAGACAAAGCAGAACTGATAATCCCAAGAACACCATGAAGGCTTTGCAATATTCGATGTGCCCAAGTCGACCAGTTTACGGTCTTCTGTGCAACTAGGACCTAAGCGTGATTTCCTAGCAGAACTCATGAATGCAGCCAAAACATATCATCCTGATATTAGACGCGGAACCTACTTCTCGATGCCTGAGTGGTTCAATCCAGACTACTCAAAGTATGCCACTGATTGCTGTGGTGGCTTTCCTGGTGGACCTCCAAAAAACCCTTACACTGGTGTTGAGGTACCCTATACAGGGCATGTACCTGTAGCCGACTACGTAACAGACCTGCAGCTGCCCCAGATGGAAACACTTGCCTACGACTCACGGTATGAAACGGAGATAATGTGGTGTGATATTGGAGGTGCCAACAATGCCACCATCATGCTATCCAGATGGCTGAACTGGGCTCGGGACCAGGGCCGCCAAGTTACGTACAACAACCGCTGCGGGTACGGCTCCACGGACCATGGTGACGCTAGTGGTGGCGACTTCACAACGCCCGAATACGTCACAAACGGCAACACAGTTGTGAGTAAGTGGGAGACGAACCGTGGTATGGATCCGTTCTCGTTTGGATACAACAAGGACACGCCTGATACTGGATACCTTACTGGAGTCGACATTATCAAGACACTTGTCGACGTTATATCCAAGAATGGCAATTTTCTACTTGATATTGGCCCAATGGCGAACGGCACGATCCCGCTGATTATGCAGAAAGGGCTGAAGGATGCGGGGAAGTGGATCAAGGAACGTAGCGAATCTATCTACGATACGCGCTTCTGGCAGACTACAAGTGGAAAGGGAAGTTTTCGATACACTATTAGTGACTCTGCGTTTTACATTCACGTGCTAGACAAGCCGAGCTTGACGCTTCTAATCCCTGATGCAATCCCATTTTTGAATGGTGATAGTGTACAGGTTCTAGGTGGTGGAATGTCAGGCACTAAAGTACCAGCCACGAAGAATGAGAATGGAACAGTAGTCCTTCAACTAGACGATGCAATCATATCGTCAGATAGATATGTTTGGACGTTTAAGGTTATCTATAAATCCTAAGCGTGAATGAGAACTAAGCTTTCTTCTCCTGCAATTAGCTATAATTTTGAATAGAGGGACCCCATTTGTTTACATATTGGTGTGACGGAAAGTTCTATTCATGGGATAGATTAACCAAAATGATGTCATTTATCTTAAGCTAAGGTATATGAAAAAATCTTTTAATACCGTGCGACATTTACTCCCTCTTAGTCGCTTTCCAGAATTGAGTAACTAAATACTGTTAGTAACTTGGACAACATTTTTATAGAGCAAGACTTGAATAGTGAGAATAAGAAACTCTTACCATAAGTAAATTTGAGTAGAGAGTCTGGCTGCTCACCGTAAGCACTATGGATACTCTTCCTCGACGAAATGTCAACATCAAATCCAAGGAGGTCTGCTAACTTGAGTACTTCTTCTGCAGACAGATGGAGCTCCGAGAAGGAGTGCCATTTTAGCGCTGTTTAAACATTAGCTCAAGTTTAATTAGAAGAGGAGAGTGTATGAAAAGAGGGTGGTTTGTTCTTGCTAGAGGTTGCGACTATTACGTACGTCCAAGGTTGATCCATACTCCACCAGGTTTTAGGAGGCGATGGATGTTGCTCAAGAAGTCAATCACATTATCTGACATGTCTATGAAGAACAAAGTGACAATGGCGTCGAACTGAGCGTCTTCGGGAAACACGTCTAGAAAGTCGCCCTCGACAAGCTTGACGGCCTGGTTTGGCATGTGGTCCGGCACTGTTATAGCAGAGTAGCGCGACGAAGGGTTGGGCTGATGCGCCCATGTAGTAACAAAGGGCTGCAAAGTGTACTGATTCAGCGAGGTGGTATAGTTTGTCAACACGTGATAGACCAATATAGAGCCGTAGTCCATATCGTTAGCCGTGACGTCGTAACCTGCACCCACGTAAGCCCATTTGTATAGACTTCAGACACAAAGTCCACGTACCTAGATCTGCAATATCACTTGCTAGCCGGCCCATACCACTCCCAGGCACAAGCACCTTTTTTCCCATGCTCTTGACACCAAAATGCTCCTCAAGCCCTGCCATGATGGGCGGAAATACGACCTGCCTCTCTTGTATACCAAGGGAACTCCAGTCTCGCATAAGGTGTCCAAAGGCTAGATTGACAAGTCCAAAATCGGCCTCTTCATTATCCTCTAAGTCTTGCATACCAGTATCGTAAAGTTGTCTTCCCACCTGTGCGACGTATTCGGCAAATTGAGCGTTCACCATGATTCCCTTGTTGGCTTTGTCAAAATGCATAGGATAGCCAAGCTTGCTGCTGATCAACTTCTGTGTTGGGCTCTGCTTGGCATGTTGCGCATGCCTTCGCTGGATGATATTTTTTGCGAGGAATGAGTACTGCTCGAAGGAATTGATGCAGTTTGCCAATCCATCAGGAAGGACAGGGTATTCCGGTTTTATGCCTTGGGTAGCAAGCACTGTGTTAGTGGAGTTGGGGGAAGACTCAAAAACGTGTGCAGATTCTGGATCACAAGAGCCTACAAGTGGGTAGCCAAGTGCAGTACGAAGGTCTTGGGCGCACTCGGAGAGTGAGGGGAAGACAGGTGTGATATTGCTTGAGCACGATTCGGCATACGCGAAGTAGGTGGGTAAAATCCCGAATACAAAGAGAGGGATGAAGCGGGCAAGAGAAACCAAGGTCATCATTGCTTTGGTTAGTCGCTAGATGAGGGTAAGTAGGAGGTGCGTGTTTTTCCAATTGCAAGTTGGCTTTAAGCGTCACGTCCTTCTTAACTATTCGTGTTGCTCCTACGGATATCTGTTGCAAAACTTTGTACATATCGACCATGCATAGACGTGTTTGAACCTTGCTAGTATCACCAGTGCAGCCCTGTTAAAAGGGCCTATCTTTCCTTACCCAAGTTGCAGTCACATGGCAATCTAGCTTCTTGGACTAGGATATAAGCAGGTATTTAAGTTCTTGCTTGTACAGCGATGAAGACAGCTTCTTGATTTCTCTATGCACGATTCCTTCACTTTTACTACCCAAACTAAGTACATAGGGCAATGACTCGGTTGATGTTATTGGTCGGCATCCTTGCTATTCTTGCTAGCTTTCAAGTCTTGTATGCACAGGAGATGACTGCATCGCGAGCGCAGAAATGTCGCAATTCAGTGATACGTAAGGAGTGGCGGACACTAGCGGATAGCGAAAAGAGCGAGTGGTTGGGAGCTGTCAAGGTGCGTCTTTGCTCGACTAAGTTGCCTGTGCTGCTAACATGGGTTACTATTTCACTGTAGTGCCTAGCAGGAATACGGCACCAACGGTTATCCTTGACGCCGGTGCAGACGATACTAGATGGAAAGAGGAGCCTGTACGATGACTTTTCTTACTCGCATGCATTAGCAGCGTACAGTGCGCATGATAACGCCTATTTCTTGCCATGGCGTGCGTTGCATTGTCTACATTTCGTGCTAGGCGAAGGAATGCTGATGAGAGGACAGATCGCTGGTTCGTTCACCTGTTCGACACATCGATGCGAGAAACTTGCCGATATACAGGGCCGACGCCATACTGGGATTGGACTCGTGATCATGCAGACCTCTTCAACTCGCCCGTGTTTGACGCATCGCCCGAACATGGTTTGGGCGGGACGGGAATCTGCCAATCTTCGTTTTCGGGCGAGGCGGATTGTACCGTCGCGACGGGCGCTTTGGCCTCGTCGCTAGGCAACTTTGAGCTTGCGTGGCCTGTTGCTCATGGCCTGCGCAGAAATCTGACCCTCTTCACTGGCTGGTTCCCACACGAGAAGCCTCTAAACACGACGCTTACACCAGGCTTTATCCGCGATGCGACTGAGAAGACCACGGGTGACTTTTTTGCCTTCCAGCAGGAATTGACAGAAAGCCACAACGCCGTTCACAACTTCGTTGGAGCCGACTTGGCGGGAGTCTGCCCAAACTCAATGCCGTCAGACGACTGCAATGGTATGACACAAGCTTTCACGCCTAATGACCCTCTGTTTTGGCTGCACCATGCACAGCTTGACCGGCTGTGGGATAAGGTAAGCCTCCGAACCATATTCTATCGGATCATTTCGCACCTCCATGATGCAACCTTACTGACACCAATGCTGCAGTGGCAACATCACCACCCATTAAACTTCGCCGCCTTTTCGGGAAGGTTCCTGGACGCACAAGACCCTCAGGGCCCACACCATGATCCCGAAGCCGACGTAGACCATCACATGCTCTTTGACATTCACAGTGTGCCAATGACACCGGCCATGTTGCTTGATATCGAGGCTTGGCCGTTGTGTTACCAATATGTTGACGAGTAACAAATATCAGACAAGTATACCCAGGCCGCCATATTTGACCGGCTGCATGGTTATCCATCTTTGTACGTATCTGTTACTACGGCGCTTAACGCGTCAGCTGCGACACGCTTTCAACAAAGGTATATCCTGAGACCCGACGTGCGATTGCTCTTCAATGGTTCTGGCATCTAGAATAAAATAGCAAAGGGTGATTTGGGCCAATCAATCTGCCAATGAAATTGATCATTCCCAACTCTGCTAGCATTGTTTTGTTAGAGAAGCAAAGCCCAACATCTAGGGCTGCAAGTCCAGCTCCTCCTTCTGTACTATCTTGAGTTAGATTGCAACCATGAACACCACCAGGTTGGCCACTATGGATATCCCCGCTATCAGCAAAACCATATCTTTGTGCATGTACGTTCAGCAACAACAACAACAGTCTGGCTTGTTGTGCAGCACTATCCGCCCTGAACTTAGTACAAGGCGGCCCATGCGCATGGGGCGTCTTCTTTTCTCCCAAGCCCTAAGCTATATACGGGTGGTACCTCTTTGTCAAGACTTCACTGCATTCTTTATCCTAATCCCAGCATACCAAACCGCATAACATATGCATTCCTCTAAACGATCACATTTATACATAGCCACATTACCCGATTTCGGCAGCTTGGGGTGTGGCCTGCCATTCTTTTCTGAGATGATCAATCTGAGACGCTATACGGCGAACAGATATGTAAAAACATGTCAGGTCATAGATACGCAGGAAAGAATACTAAGAAGTGTGCAGCATCTAGTTAATTGAGATGATTGATATCAAGATTGTGCTATATCGCCATGGATCATGTTCAAACCATTCCATGGTATAGTAACTTTTTCAATGAGACGACTCTTTCGACCTTCGATGCATATCGGGCGTCCACTTTTCGTATTCTTTTGCCATCCAATCGTAAACTTGTTTCCAATCCCGGCACGTATGGTCGGTTCTTATACCTGTGGCAACTTTGTCTCCGTTCGCTAACAACCTGCTGGTACCGCCTGGTTCAAGGGTTGTGTCAGCGGCACAGAGAATGCTCTCCCGTAGGTAGTGGAAGCAATGTTCTGTGTGGTCAGATCCATCGTCTCCATTGAGCAGCACCGCGCGTAGACGGTTAAGGCAGTGTATCTGGTGCCACATTGATACATCGAATGGATAATATTCTTCCCCAAGGAAAACATAGCCTGAGCCAGGAGGACGAAGTGCATTCCATTCATCCCACGATGCATTTCCGTCCAGCCTGTAGTGGACTGGGTCGTCGTGGAAGTGATTCTGGATGGTGCCGACATTGATGGGGAGCTCGCGAGGTCGATCGCCTTCCAGGTAGGCTACAACATGTCAGTTCAAACTCGATATCAATGCCCAAATCTTTCGTACTATATTGCTGCGTTCCTCGCGTCAAGATGCGAAGGGAGTAAATGAGAGCGCCTGAATTCAGAACGAGGCCTACGCTCAGTACTGCAATAAGGCAGCCCAATACGCCACGATGTTGGGATGCCGAATATAGGGAGACCATCTTGGTTCTCTAAGAGGGCACTGTGGAAGAATCGGAAGAATTTTGGACCTATATACGCAGCAAAGAGGTAGGAGCAAGTCTAGATATCTGTAAAATGTCTTCACAGCTAATCCCAAAGAATAGGCTGTTATTCCCATTCCAGATAAGTTACTAGATCGCACTTAGTAGTAAAAGCTCCAAGGACACATGATTTGAAAAGCTTCTTCCACTCCGTAGATTCCTGCTCAAGAGATAATAAGCACTATTGTGTAGGTAACCAATAGGATAATTCATAGACGCCACTGTACTAAAGCGGAAACTAGAGAACTACTTCCCCGTGTTTAAGAAACTTTCCTTGTACAACAATCCGCTCACAGACTACGATAGAGGTGATTATACCGGCCCTTTTACCATAGTAATAGGACGTAGGCACCATGTGGGCCGCTAGTAGGAGTGATACACAATAGGATAGAGAGTGGGTGTTACCTGCTGAGCGAAAAATGTGAGACACCAAAATCGGTCATACTTTGCATAGTCTACAGCATGAATCATCTTCACCTTATAATCTTTTCACGTCGGAGCATTTCTTGAATAGATCATACACTTGAGAAGAAAACTAATCATGATATTATGGTACAATCATAAAGTTGTACAGTTACTAGCGTTCTGAGTGTCGTCGATTTTGATCAGGTTTTAGCTAGGTAGTAGCACGTGTAGAGTGTCGCATTTTTTGTTCACCGAGTGAGTGTTATACTGCACATAGCTTGGCTTCTATCAAGGTTGCTAAAAAAAAATTACTCCATATTTCCCTAATCACCATTTTAGCGTCTCTAGCTCCAGAACTTCTGCTGGTAGCCATAGTATAGATCGCAACCTAGCAGGTCGCAAGTAGCTAGTCTAAGCTTAAATCGAAATTCCGTTTGCATGACTGAATCGTACATTGCTCCGGACACACCTGCATCGGGATTAGACTTTACATAGGGATTAGACTTTACATCGGGATTAGACTTTACATCGGGACTAAACTTTACATCAGGCGAGTCCATTTTCCTTTCGGGAACCGAGGTACAGAGAGTTGACGAAGCAATAGATTTTCTGTGATGAAAACTTAATTATACGTCCCATGTTCCCCGGTTACCACTTTTGTGACTCGGGTTCCGAAAGAGAAAATGAGAGATGGATGGATATAGCATTGTCACCAAATGGTACTGGCCGAATAGCCACTGGGGGTACATTCTCCAATGACAAACTCTTGTGCATATGCTTTAGGTATATCACCGACCCTAATCCTATTACAGAAAATACATTGTCGCACTTCATCAAACGATTGATTGAGAAGGAAGCTCTGATGGATTTGCCGTTCACCCGTGTATCCATTGAACGAAGGCAGTCTGAAGAGGTCTTTTGGGGATGCTGATATTGCTTCTTCAGCAGATCTAGTGTACAGTCGCAAGTCACTTCACAGGCAATCTGACCTCATAATCAATGAACCACAACTCGCTCTGCGAGTTTACATGTGATACTCATTTCTCCAGCTTTGAATATTTCTGCCATTGTCAAGAATGCCTCAAAAAATACCTAGAACTTCTCCTGGAAAAACTGTGATACCTCCCAGGAATGAGTACAATAGTTGAAATCACAAGGAAAAGGTCGGGCTTACATTTCGGAAATGAACAGGCTAATAGGACTTTCACTGCTGACGAGGTCGTCGCGACGTGATAGAATCCTATCAGTGACTATAGCAAGCCCATGTCTATTATGCGAAGATGCCTTCTAGTTACACAATGACGGCGGTAGATGCAGTAGTAAGGTAAAGCTACCGGACTCCGATGACTTAGGTTCGGGCCGAGCAATATGAACTTACGTAGTATGCAGATGTTGTTGTGCTGATAGAAAGGGTATAAATATCAAAGGGACGGCCACGAAGTACAAGATCATCATCAAGCCGAATCCTCCCAACAGCTCTTCACAGAACTCTCCTAACAGCTTTTCAATCAATCTGTCTAAATTTCATATACTTTCCAATAACAAAGACGTCTTTGTCAACTCCTTAAATTCATAAAAATGAAGTACGTCGTCGCTATAATTGGCCTCATGAGTCTTGGAATCAACGCCATTCCTTTGCAAGGCGACGCAGGCCATGCCATGGAACTGGCTGAACGTGGCGAAATGTACGCAAAACGCCACCAGTACAGCCCTTCCGATAGTGAGAACACTAAGGAGAAGCGCCA